CTTCTTCTCTCTATATAAAAATATTTATATTTTATTATATTGTTTGAGAATTAATTATCATAAATTAATTTGAGTCTATGATGGTAAGCAACCTCCGCTTCCAACTAAGAGGTTGTGAGTTCGGGTCTCCCCAAGAGCAAGGTGAGAAGTTCTTGAAGGGAAGGATGTCGGGGGTCTATTTGAAAACAGCCTCTCTACCTCAGGGTAGGGGTAAGATCTGCGTACACACTACCCTCCCCAGATCCCACTAAATGGGATTATAAGAGTAAACCTTTGGATCAGAAAATATCTAACTCCCTTTGATTTGTAAATAGGAACATGTTTCGCATATCTTAATTACTGTAAAATCGTATACCTACGGTTAAAAAATTAAAATAAATCTAAAAATACCGTAAAAAATCTAAAGGTAACGTAAAAATTCTACAATTAGGTAATGTAACATGATGAAAAATCTCAAGGACTAATGCGTAGACTAGAATATGATATATCTAGTAAAGGCGAAACCACTATTCGAAACTTATACTTCCTGAATACTAGCTAATTTTTTTAAGTTATTGTGTTCAAATTAATAATTAATATATATATATATATATATATATTTAATAAATTTATTAAAATAAATACAAGCTTTGAATTAAAGATATTGAATTCGGCTGAATATGATATATCTAGTAAAGGCGAAACCACTATTCGAAACTTATACTTCCTGAATACTAGCTAATTTTTTTAAGTTATTGTGTTCAAATTAATAATTAATATATATATATATATATATATATTTAATAAATTTATTAAAATAAATACAAGCTTTGAATTAAAGATATTGAATTCGGCTGAATATGATATATCTAGTAAAGGCGAAACCACTATTCGAAACTTATACTTCCTGAATACTAGCTAATTTTTTTAAGTTATTGTGTTCAAATTAATAATTAATATATATATATATATATATATATTTAATAAATTTATTAAAATAAATACAAGCTTTGAATTAAAGATATTGAATTCGGCTGAATATGATATATCTAGTAAAGGCGAAACCACTATTCGAAACTTATACTTCCTGAATACTAGCTAATTTTTTTAAGTTATTGTGTTCAAATTCATAATTAATATATATATATATATATATATATATATATATTTAATAAATTTATTAAAATAAATACAAGCTTTGAATTAAAGATATTGAATTCGGCTGAAGTCATAAACTGCATACTAGCTCCACCTTAGCCTATATACTATAATCCATGAAATAAAAGTGTTGCATTTAACGTATAAGTTTTGATATTTGCATGTGGCGGACCAGCGGCACAACCACACTTTGGCAAGGGGAGTCAATTGATACCCCTTCGTCGAAAAATTACACTGTGTAAATACATTAAATTCTTAATTTTATTTGTATATACTATACGTTTACTCTCCTTGATTTCTTTGTGTGCTTACTTATTTATATTTTGACTTCCCTTAATTAAAATCCTGGCTCCGCCACTGTGACGGACATGGTAGTTGGCTTAAAGTTAGTAGTATAAAACTTTGCTACGTAACTCGACCTTCATTAATGCTACAATAAAGTTTGTGAACGTAGTAGTACTGTTATTTGCTGTCAAAGGAAACTGCCTTGACAATATCTCAGAGCTCTGACCAATTGATCATTGATTAATCATTTATGATGAAAATGACATACATTTCAAAGTACTACAGGATCCACGCAAACACGGACCCACTATTTGAAAGTGGCGAGGGCATCACTATCGAATAAAATTTTAAGAAATACTAAAGTAGAAATCGAACTCAGGGTAATGCAGTTGAAAAGCCAAGTTGTGCCCCCTAAATCGACTAATACAGTTGACAAAGCTTTGAGTCTTAGGGTATCAATCAAAATATATACCTGTTATTTAAGATATATATACATATATATACTCTCTTTTTTTTTTTTCGAATTACCGGCTCCAACGACCCTCCTACCCTAACGGTAGGTCCGCCTCTGTGTCCATGTCCTTGCTGTAATGTTAAAAAAAGTAGAAGGACTAGCATTTAACTTTTTTCTCATAGAAAATTTTGGTAGAGAGCATTTCTTTTTTATAGTATTTAGGCTGTACATATTAATACATATAATTGCCTAAGCTTTGAATCTTAAGATGTCAATCGAAATATATACCTCTTATTTAAGGAGGACTAGTATTTTTATTTTTTCTCATAGAAAATTCTGGTAGAGAACATTTCTCTTTTTATAATATCTAGGCGGTACATATTAATACATGTGATTGCCTTATAATTAAACTGATTGTGTAAATATTTTTATATAAATAGTGTACAAAACATAAACTCTTTTTTTTTTAAATGCAGAATGAGGCACTAAATGGAGGAGGAACATTATTTGTAAACAAACATCCTAACCTTAAAGTAAGAGTTGTTCATGGAAATACACTAACAGCAGCTGTTATACTAAAAGAAATTCCAGAGAATGTAACTGAGGCTTTCTTATCTGGAGCCACCTCTAAACTTGGAAGAGTTATTGCTCTTTACCTTTGTAGAAGACAAGTTCGTGTTCTTGTAAGTATCATACACTCTATTCTTTTCTTTACACAAATAGCCGGCCGGACTCACTGTTTACTTTTTCTTGTCGGTATACATAAAATATACAATAATCATAAATGATTATACACATAGTATACATGAACTATACATACAGTCAGACATCTCTATAACAACATCTCTAGTCATTTACTATAAAAGTCAAATTTTTGTCGGAACCGATTTTTATGTTATGTTATAATATTTGACATCTGTAACAACACTTCACTATAGCAGCAAAAAATTATAAAGAGGTTTGACTATATATTATACATCCTTCGGCACTTTTTAGTTTAAATGATTAGGTGGAGGGTTATTTAGGTTAATGCTTTTTTGTTTTTTTACATGAGTTTTAATTAATTATTGCATTTAATGTTTTATTTCTTCGATGGTTGGAAAATTAATTGAGAAATTAAACATGATGTGGAAATGGTAAGGTTGTGTAAATCGGCTTGAGACTTTTTTTCTTTTCAAACTGAGTAAAAATTTAGTTTTTTGGTTTTATATTCGGTGTCCAATCCTCGTATTGGGGTCCGACTAAATTCGAATTTGAGCCCGAAAAAATCTCACGTTGAAGATAAAACACTCTCTAATAAATGGGACTTCATACCCAGAACTCATACCCGAGATCTTTAGTTATACAGATGGGTAAAATTTTTATAATAGAAGAAAAGTTTACAGAAGATTCTTCAATAGTATATCTGGTTCACGAGATTCTATAACTGTAACCAACAAGGGTTGTGGTGGAATGGTGAGTACTCCTTTATCCTTAACCAGAGGTCTCGAGTTCGAATCCTAGATATGGAGTCTCCTTTATTAGGGGGCAGTTTACCCCCCCGCCCCCAATGTGGGACTTCTCGGTGCGAATCCGAATTAATCAGGCCCAATATAAATATCGGATACCGGGTGAGAAATCAAAAAAAAAAAAAGATTCTATAACTGTAGGACAAAATTGTCATTTTCCAATTACTCAAGTCGTCCAAAGGACAAGACCCTTACAGTAAAAAGTTTTGTGTTGTGGGCACATATTTACTTTCTACTAAAGAAAATTTGGTCCATTTGTTCTATGTCCCCACCCTGGAAATTTTGGTCCTGTAGGGGTCTCTATTGATTATACACTACAGTGTCCAATGCCCAAATTTGTCCTTTTGAGACAAGTCCATGTTAAATTTTGTGTGTTTATTGTACTTGGAAAATGCAGAGCTGCCAATATAATTATTGTTGGGATTGAAAATTTTATATTTTTTTTGAAAAATAAAAGGTTGTCTACATTACACTTCTTGAAATACGATCCTTCTTCAGATCTTATGTGAATGCGAAATGTTTTATGCATCGAGCTGTCTTTATATTTCAATGGGTTGGCTTACTCTTAATAACATGTTGCTTTAAGTATCGATCGTAGCTAACAGAATTTCTTCGTGCAAAATTACAGATGCTAACATCATCAACTGAAAGATTTCAAAAGATACAAAAGGAAGCTCCTGCTGAATACCAGAAATACTTAGTCCAGGTCACCAAGTATGAAGCTGCCAGAAATTGCAAGGTATATATTCATTTATCAGTTTCCAAATATTAATGTTTAGAATTTGCAAAATAATTTTAAAATCTTAGTAAAAACACACACACAAAAAAAATGAAATTCCTTCTAGCAGAAAGTGTAGGTTTGCAGCAACATTTGTAGCCATTAGACAATATAAAAATACAAAGGATTTAAATTATTCATAGTGAGCAAAGGCAGACCCAGAATTTAAAAGTGGCAAGGGACCACTATCGAAAAAACGTTTGACCAGATGTTGGAGTGAGAGGCGAACCAAAATAATGCATTAAAAGTCAAGTTGTGTCCCTCAAATTGACCAATGCAACTGTTTAAGCTTTGAATTTTAGGGTGCCAACCAAAATATACACCTATTATTTAAGATATATACATTATCGAAAAAAGAGTGCGTGTGTGTGTATTTACTCTGAATTTACATGAGGCCGATGACCCTCCTACCCTAAGAGAACATCCGCCTCTGACTGAGAGTATATCTTAACCTGTTGTGAGAGATAACATGTCTTAATTCTCGAAGTTAGTAATTCCGCCTTTTATCAATATCTTTACTTAACTATCAGATGATCTGATAGAGTAAAGAGAAATTTATACTGTCAGTGTATAAAAGTTATACTCCATTAAAATTAGAAAAAAGTGAGAAATATTGTTACTATTATGTTATGATTGTTGTCATCCTTTTATCTAAAATTAAAGTGTTTGGTTTATTTGGTTATGATATTTATAGACATGGATAGTTGGAAAATGGATAACACCAAGAGAGCAGAGTTATGCACCAAAAGGAACTCATTTCCATCAATTTGTAGTTCCTCCAATTTTGTCCTTTAGAAGAGATTGTACATATGGTGATCTTGCTGCTATGAGATTACCTGAAGATGTTCAAGGACTTGGATCTTGTGAGGTATGTCACTAATTTTCATTACAATATCCATCAATTTGTAATTTTTCTTCATTTTACAATTTCTCGAGATAATTCACTACAAAAAAAATGGAATTAGCTACAAACTCAATAGCTAATTAATTACTCGTAGCTAACCGAATTTCTTGATAATCTATCATTAATCCGTCGCTAAATAGGATTAGCAATAGATTTTTCTGTTTAGCTACAGAATCTATCCGTCGCTAAGTCATGTTTTTATAGTAGTGATTTACCCTAATTCACCAAAAGATGCACTCTACTTCAGTACTTAATTTCAAGAGAACTAGATTTTCTTTGAAACCCCTTTATTTTATATTCCCTTTGATCCATTTTAGATACACTCCTTTCGTTTTAGCTGGTTTAAGAAAGAATGATATCTTTCTATACTTCGAAAAACTCTTGATCTTCCAAATTTCCATTTTACTTCTGGAAGGGGAGCTTTGGCGTAACTGGTAAAGTTGTTGCCATGTGACCAGGAGGTCATTGGTTCGAGCCGTGTGGAAACAGGCTCTTGCAGAAATGGTAAGGTTACGTACAATAGACCTTTGTGGTCCGACTCTTTCCTGGACCCCGCGCATAGAGGGAATTTAGTGCACCGGACTGCCCTTTTTTTTCTTAATAGCATGCTGGTATAACAACAGAAATATCATGACACGTATATAAGCTATAAAGATACTTTTTGCAACGTGCTACAAGTATTTTTTTTCCTGTCTTAAGTTCCGTACCCAATCAAGTACATCTTATAAAATGAAACAAATCAACTCATATTATTTTTTTATTTATTTATCATATTTTTAACAGTATACAATGGAGAGAGGGGTAGTCCATGCATGCCATGCAGGAGGAGTGGTGCATTCATTAGAAGGATGGACACACCATGAAGTTGGAGCTATTGATGTAGACAGAATTGACTTAGTTTGGGCAGCTGCTATGAAACATGGTCTAAAGCCAGTGTCAAGTCTCAAAAAGACAGATTAATTTATTTAATATCACTTAAGTTCTCAAATTAATTATTACCATTTGTGAACTCATGAAAAATCCCCAATATTTAAAAAAAATAGATTCTTGGAATTCTCTCTTACAATGAGAAAGAGAGAGGAAAATGGGGTTGGCTTAGAATTCACTAAGTGATTCAATTGAACAAGAAAATTTATGATTTATAAATGCATATATATTGTTATGTTCCAATGACTATGTACATCAGATACTAAATTCTTGAATTCCAATTTTTTGCCATATGTCTCGTGTTGTGTTGTTCAGTTTATTTTGTTAAGTCAAGATATAGTCATGCTGTTTCACCCAAAAAATAATTTTTAAGGTCAAAGTAATAATTTTATATGACGAGCCACAAACAATCGAATTGATATAAAATTTCGTTAATACAACGTGATAGAGAAGTGAGAAATAAATTCAATGACATATAATATAATAAAAATAAAACAGAGAAGAAAGAATTCTTATTGAATGATCTTTGATAGGATAATGAGTTGAATAGAGCTTGAAGGGCCGCACTATGGCTAACTTGAGAGCAAGATGCTATGAATTACAATGTATAAAATTGTAGAGAAGAAAATTAGATTCCACTGATGGTGGTAAAAGTATGTCTATTTATAGGGCTAAATCTAAGTAACTAATCTTCTTGAATTATGGGTCCATTATGAGCATTTACTCAATCCATCCATTACTTTTAGAAGACTTGTAACAGCTATGTAAATGCTGGAATTCCGTAACTGATGAGTAATTCCATAACTGATGAGTTAATTCCGTAATTAATGAGTCAATCTCGTGCTTGTTGAGCCTGTTGAGTCAATCTCGTGCCTGATTGCCTTGTTTTGACCGTTACAATCATTTATTGCATTTATTAATAATTGATTTGTAACTGATGGTGTAATGATGGTAAATCCCATATAATCCGGGATTAATTTATTTTTTCCTCATTAGTAATTATGAGATATTCTCCTGCGCCTAATCTGGGCTATTTCATGATGATCAGTTCCGGGACTAACAAGCACGGTATGAGTATGTTCAGTCCCGGGGGTGTTTCACATATCATCTTTACATGTCATTCTTCATTTTTCTTCAAACTTTATTGCTACGTGTCGCCATTTAATAGACCCACATGACGAGTCTAATTTTTACTAATACAGATAGTCTCCCCACTTTCCGGTTACTCACTATGATGTGATCGGGAAGTGGAAAATTTTATCCTTTTCATCCTTGCCTCTGCCTCATTTAAAAATCTTGCCAAAAAAATCCAATAGGGACAAAAATCGGACAAAGAAAAAAGGAGTGCAGAACTTAGATATTCAGATGATAACTTCGTCGATTATGTTCCTTTCGTCAATAATCGGTTGGTTTACCCCTGTCTTATTTCGGGGTTTGAAGACAACTCTTTGCCTTATATTTGTAAAGTTTGATATATATATTTCGGCTTTATTTTCTGCCTATTTTAATGTTTGGGTTTTTGTTTCACCCTTTAACTTTGCATTAAAAACACTTTAATGCTCCGTGACTTTTTTAAATAAGCACGAATTATAAAAGAGGACCCTTTTATGAACGACACTTAATGAAGAAGACGTCTCAACTTCATAATGGTGTAAATATACAAAAGAGAGATAGGAATTTTCACATGTTTTTCTTTAACAATATTTTGAAGAAAGTTTTTACATTTAACTTTCATAACATTTCACATGTATTTGTGTATCGTCTATAACTTATTTTGCAACTGTTTTTTCTTTTAACAGATTCGATATAAGCTTGCACTCGTAACTGTTTTTCTTTTGCAACAGTTTTTTTTTAAAATTAGTACAAGGAGATAACTATTTTTGTTTACAACAGTTTTAAATATAAGGGTATGAATTTTTACCCATAACTATTTTTATTGATAACAATTTTCAAATGAATACAAGGGTAATGCTTTTTCATCCTTAACTGTTTTCAGTTACAATAGTTTTTGAGTAAGTACAAAGATGTGCATTTTTACCCGTAACTAATATTCTGCCTTTAACCTTTTTTGAAACATTCGTTTATATTTACGAATATGTTTTCAAAGGTTTTGGAGTCAGGCTTGTATTTTTGGCTCGTGACTTTGCTCTTAACTTTCGATTTGTTGGGTAGACCTTAGGCTTGACTTGAATTTTGATTTTTCTAGTCTTCTTTGCCTTCCATATATATAGTCCCCAAGTGTTAGAGCTTTGAAGTATGAAATCTCGAGCATTTGATTATTCCTTCCACGTGGTCCATTTCCTGAAAAGGAAAAACATACGGGACTCGGAGGTATATATTTAGATGATGACTGCTTAACCCCTCCCCCCTTTTTTACCAAAAGGGTTGTAACCTAGACCGGGATTGATACAGTGTTCCTCATGTCTTTCGGGTCTAATATCATCATTTGGTATTTTAGAGAATTTATCCGAGTACTAATTTTTCTTGGCACTTTAAAAAATTACTTGAGTGCTCATACTTAGTCTTTTAGACTTAAAATATATATTTGGATGCATCGTTACATGTGCGATGTCTTAATGTTGTACCTTTGGGTGTCTAACGTTTATATGAAAGAGGGCTCTTTTATATACTTTAAACGCTATGAAGATGATGTCTCCTTTTCATTCAGGCGTAAAATAGGATCGATTGATCCGAGTAGACTTTTAGTCTGAGGGAATATTAATCCCGATAGGATTTACAAGAGTATTGACCCCATTAAAATTTATGGGAGGATTGACCCCGGTAAGACATTGAGTTTGAGGGAGTATTGATCCCAAATAAATATATATCTTAGTAGATTTGTCCTAAAGAGACATTTAATTTGATTGGATTTTGAATCTAAATTGGAGTATATGAACATACTTCCAATTAGAGAGGGACACATGTCTAAAATAATATTTGAGATTTACGGAATAATCGATCCGAGTCATAATACAATTAGCCATTAAGAAAGGCTTAGATATTTAGCTTGAATGGTCGTTGTTGGACCGAATATAAATCGCGTGTTTGTTCAAAGTGAACTTTATTCTGGTGGCTTATTTGCATACATTTATCTTGACTTAGATGTAACACTCTCGTTTTTTACGTGGGATTCTTGACTCTGACATGGAGTTTTTGATCCTTTTTGTGTACGTGTAGTATATGTATTTTTGAAGAACTCATTCAACATTGTTTGAAGTGTTTATGCTTGATATGAGTAATACAACTAACTGAGTTGAGCTGGTAAATAATGTCAGATCAAATTGACTAATCTTCAAGTATGAGTAATCTCCCTAGTGTTTGAGTTTTGAGGTATGAGAACTCAAACACTGGGATCATAATTTGACAATCCATGGTCTAATAGTCCCCAGTATGATAGTTAATTTCGATATTGATGGACTTTGAGATGGTCCAGTTCCAACATAGGGATGGTACCGAAGCTCTTTTTATTAAATATTTTGTACTCTGGCCGGGAACTACGGATGTTCCAAAATGTTGTCGAGGATCATGCCATATCTTGATTTGAGCTATTCATACTGACATTGATGAGTTTTTGATTTGAAGCCTTATTATCAGAGTAATTTTCACTGCTTTCTTTATAAATTTCTCGCATCATATATTTTGTTTGTTTGGTCCATGTGGCATTTTAGCTTTTGGAGCCTTAAATATTCTCAAATATAATTCTCCTCCAATAAGGCAGGTAGTACGGGATGAGATGCACTCAGAGTTATCGAGATCATGTTTATCTTTGGGTAAAGTCCCATTCTGCAAGTAATAAATGAATTTATAATACTAATTCCAAATTAAATTAGTCAGGCTTACCTCATTTTCATTCTAATTGATGATAGATCAGGAATCGCCTAAATAAGAGATGGCTTGATCCCGAGACCATTTGATCCGAAAATGATATTTCTCAATAAATGCCAGGAGTTGCTTTCTAAGTCAGTGATATTAGCAGTAGATCTGAGACTAACATATCCGGCTCGATTTTCTTGGGCTGCATAGTTTTATTGGATTTGATCAATCGTTAAATTAATATTTTTGCTTTGAGTCCTCAAGCTAATTTAAGCCATGTAGCATATGCTTCATACTCGGCTTTGTTGTTAGTAATAAAATAAGTTTTATGAATATCTAACTATTTTCCCTGATAGACATTAAGCATTGTCCCTAACTCGGGAAGTTTAGTACTTGTGGACCTAATTTGTAGAAGGTCCAGATCCCGAGAATTATCCCAGAAATATCATATTCGGGTAATATGTTCGAGCTAAAATTAATCATGAAATCTGCTAAATTTGTGATTTTATAGTTGTACGTGGCTGATAAATAATATCATATTCACTTAGTTCGACTACTCATTTAACTAACCTTCCTGACAGTTCATGTTTATGCAAAATATTGCGTAATGAAAATATAGTGACTACGTGAATTGAATGACATTGAAAATAAGGCCTTAGATTTAGGGAAACTACAATTAATGCCAACTTATCAAAATGTAGATATGTAGTTTCGTATCTAAGAGCATTTTATAATAGATAGGAGAATGTGTACCTTTATCTTCTTGAATTAAAATTGCATTTACCGAGACATCCGAGACAATTTGGTGTACCAGCAATCATCTTTCTCCTCGGAATTTTGAAAGTAATGATGTGTTGTTGTTAGATAGAAAGTTTGAATGATTCGACTTTTCGGACTAAACCGATCTTTCGAAGTTCTGTAACTTTATCTTTTATTATTTGACTCTAGTTTCTTCTTTTGCTTGACCGGATTATACCGCGGGTCAATATTGAGCATATAAACCTTTACCTCCTGTGGTACACCTATTATGTTAGCATGGAGGCAAGCAAAGCAATTTTTGTTAGCATGTGAAAGTTTAATCACCTTACCTTTAAATTCGGTGTCGAGTCTCGACCAACGTAAACCTTACTATTTGGGAAGTCAATGATAATTTCTAGTTCTTCAGCATTTGACCTTGTGGCTTCTGATGCCTTCGGTTCAATGATTGCTTCCGAAAATATTTGTATAATTGTCCAAGGTTATTACTGAACCTTTCTTCCTCGTGGTCTATTCCATCCCACAGCTATCTCTTCTTTTTCAGTTGTTAGGTATGGTATCTTTGTAAGCAATCTCATGGGTGTTTTACCCATGTTCTTCCTAATCTTCATTCTTCTCCTGTGAAATTTTATAATTTAGCAAGGTAATTCCTTGCATGTTCGGGTAGAGCCGGATCTTTTTCAGCCCGTGAAGAAAATCTCGTATCTATTTGCTTGGACCTGTT